CAGGTTTTTGGCCAGGGCTGGGTTTGAACCCACCACCTCTGGCATATGGGGTTGGCACCCTACTCCTTTGAGCCACAGGCACTGCCCTAACCTCATTATATTTTATGAATTTTGTAAAACTTTTGATAATACAGAAGCTACAACTGTAAACTAATGAAATAGATCCCACAAACTACACATGAAAAGAAGCATAATAATTTTATATTCTTCATATTCATTTCTAAGCACTGTGTTTAAATATTTCAAATATTTTACAACATCAGAACATCATAAAGTAAACCCTCATTGCAAGATAAATTCAACTTCATTTATATGAGTATACTACATATAAAATAAAAGTTTTTCAAGCACTCGAGGCACCAATTTCAATCTTACTTATATAGACAAAAGCCAATCAATTTAATATTCTAACATTAACAAGTGAATCTGCTTTACATGATACTGCTCAACATGTAGGTTATAAATATGCTATTTGGTTCAAACAGAATTGTTGTTTACCAATAAACATAAGATAAACCTTTTTCTACAGCAGTATTATTGCTTTTGGATCATATTTATGACTGCTATAAAATATTCTATTAGCTTGTGGATAAAGATAATAATAATTCAAGAAAACTTTACATAGTAATGAGAAGCCAGAAATAAGGGTATCTGGATGGCTTATGTTTGTGATACCAAAGAAAATAATTCAATATGGTATGTAATGAATATCATACATTAAACAAATATATAATTGATACCACTGGTCACACAGTATAGGGAAAATAGCTGATGACAACTATTTCACTTTTTTTTCTTTTTTTGAGACAGAGTCTCAAGCTGTCACCCTGGGTAGAGTGCCATGGCCTCACAGCTCAGAGCAATTTCCAACTCTTGGGCTCAAGTGCCTCAGTCTTTGCAAATATTTATGACCAGCAACTCAGTCTACAACAAAACTGCTGACTCCTCAAAGTGATAAGCGTATGTGCAGGGGCTGAGGTGGTAATATTACACCTGCTATAACCAGGTCCCACGTCCCCTGCCCTACCAGACCTGATGAGGAGGTGAAGCGAAAAGGTGGCTAAGATCATGAGTATTCTTGAGGAAGACCATAAAAACAGCAAAGAAACTGACCATGGCTGAGATGCCTGAGCTCTATGAAATTCTGTCAGGAAAACAGCAGTAACACTCCTGTCCTCCCCACTCTCATTGGTCAGCATGTAGAGGGAAATCTGGATTTGCCCAATTCCTCAGAGTGTGCAGGTTTTCTCTTTCTTAGTACAGCCTGTGTGTTGAATATATTTACATGATTGTTGGTGGATGAAAGCCTCACAATGACTATAAATTAGAAAGCATTTAATTGGCCACTGAGTCACTGTGAACTCCCTCCACTCTACCCCTCAGTCCTAGTTAGCACAACTAAACTGATTAGAACCTGACAAGATGGCTCAGCATCTGTGGCTCAAGTGGCTAAGGCACCAGCCACACACACCTAAGGTGGTGGGTTTGAATCCAGCCTGGACCCACCAAACAACAATGACGGCTGCAACCAAAAAATAGCCAGGCGTTGTAGTGGGCGCCTGTGGTCCCAGCTACTTGGGAGGCTGAGGCAGGAGACTCGCTTGAGCCCAGGAGTTGGAGGTTGCTGTGAGCTGTGAAGCCACGGCACTCTACCCAGGGTGACAGCTTGAGGCTCTGTCTCAAAAAAAAAAAAAAGAACCTGACAAGATAATAGCCTATTAGTCTGTACAGCATGTTAGTGTACTGAATACTGGAGGCATCAGTAATGCATTAGTAGGTATTTATGCATTGCAATAGCTATGATGATACTAGGCAAAAGGAATTACTCAGCTCCATTATAATCTTATGGAACCACTGTCATATAGGTATGTGGTCCTTTATTGATCAAAACATCATTATGTGGGACATGATTATATATATTTTAAAATTTCCTTTTTTTTTTTGAGACAGAGCCTCAAGCTGTCCTCCTGGGTAGAGTGCTGTGGCATCACAGCTCACAGCAACCTCTAACTCCTGGGCTCAAGCAATCTGCTGCCTCCGCCTCCCAAGTAGCTGGGACCACAGGCGCCCGCCACAACGCCTGGCTATTTTTTGGTTATAGCCATCATTGTTGTTTGGCAGGCCTGGGCTAGATTCGAACCCGCCACCTTAGGTGTATGTGGCTGGCGCCTTAGCCACTTGAGCGACACATGCCGAGCCTATTTTAAAATTTCTAAGGTGATATATTATCAGAAGAAAAATGTTTAGTTTTATTCTTTTTCTTTTAAGTATGTTCCCAACTGCAGACAATCCATCCTTAGATTGTCTTATTATTATTATTAGATAATAATAATTCTTGCTAAGTATTACCGACATTTATCTTTCTCGAATGATAGAGGAATTTATTGAAATTTAAAGATGTAAAGTCTGTTTATTTCACTACTAACCAATATGCAAGCTACATTATTCTCACCAAAGCTAATTTGTTGGTATATACATCATTTTTGTAAATAATGGATGGAGATTGTAAAAGGTAATTGCAAAACATTGATAAGTTAACTTATTTTGCACAGTGTTTTACACTAAATAGAAAGTCAATTAATGAACCTCAATGAAAGCAAAACATAAGGAAAAACCTGAGAAAATTCTGAGGAAGACAATACCGCCTGCTCCTGTGACTGTAATCTAAGGCTTTGTCCTAAGGAGATAGTAATCCATGTAATTAAGTATTACCTTTTGTAGGAACTTAAGACAAAGATAACATTAATAAATCAATACAAGACGCAACCATCCATAACAGTCTTTTAAAAAGAAAAGTTATAATAATAAAAGTAGAAGATCCAGAAAGAAAAGAACATTTTGACAAGCAATAAGGCTTAGGTTCTCACTGAGTTTAAGAAACTCTGAAATTGAGGATGAAATACTGCCATATAATAATTATCAAAACAACTGTCATACACAATTATCAATGGACTTTTTATTTTTTTGAGACAGTGTTTCACTTGTCGATCTCAATAGAGTGCCTTGGTGTCATAGCTCAGAGCAACCTCAAAGTCTTGCAGCCTCTCAGGTAACTGGGAATACAGGGGCCTGCCACAATGCCTGGCTAGTTTTTTATAGAGATGGTGTCTCACTCTTGCTCAGGCTGGTCTCTAGCTCCTAAGCTCAAGCAATCCACCCTCTTTGGCCTCCCAGAGTGCTAAGATTACAGGCATCAGCCACTGTGCTTGACCATCAATGGACTTTTGAAATAGCATGTTTCCAAGTAGTATAGGACCAGGTGAGGCAATGAATTACCTTCTTTTAGATTTCTAACTGGAAGGTGGAGACCACAAAAAGTCTCCCAAACTATAGGGTAGTTCTTTTATATTACAGGCACATAACATAACTTGGTTTGAAAATGAATGAATTGAATAATCGAAGAGGGGCAAGTATTAAGGGTAGGTGTTGAGGCTTAAATTCTCCACTTCCAGTGCCCTCCCCAGAACCTAAGCTATCTTGTGGCAGGAATACCCCAACAGACTTGTAACTGCTCTCTCTCATCTATACTTTTCCCCCTTGTAGTCCCTTCTGCACTAATCTTATGGGAAAAAAAAAATATTATCTGCCATACTGTTCCCCTCACCCCTGGACCCCCCAACATGCAAAGCTTAAAATCTTTAAAGCCTTCCCGTTGCTCTTAAAACACTTAAATCCTAAATCTTTTAAAAGGCTCTAATTGGTCTGGCCCCTGCCATAACTCTCCTGCTTCATCTTGCATCAAGCTCCCTCTTATCCTGTGTCCTGATAAAGAAAAGCAACCCTTTATCTGAGAAATGCTAGTCTCTTTACATTCTCAAGCAGTCATGTCTTATTGCCCCCTAGAGCTAATATTTAAAAACCTGCTTGTAAAAATGGCTGAAGAAGCACTTCCCCATCTTCAGTCATCGTCCTCATGTTTTCCAGGATGCAGTCTTCAACCTGGGCCCAAATAAAGTCTCTGTATTAATTTTGCCTGGGTTTCATTCCTTAGGTTGACATTTTCAACCACACTACCTCCTTTCATTTCAAATAACTCATACTCCCTACAGTACAAGAGCTATGTATATGTCATTTCTGCTTCCTAGAATCCTCACACATCCTCTTTACCTTACATAATTTCCAATAATCGTTTGCCTCTCAGTTCCAAAGTCAGTTTCTCAGGGAAGTTTATTTGGAGCATCTTTATAGTCTCTCTTCAAAGACTAGGTCAAACCTTGTAAGCTCCAAAAGGTGAGCACTGTTTACTATTCCTTCCTAGCATTTTTCATAATGCTTGTATCTTATTTATATGGTTATCTGATTAATCAGACTATCAGTAGTGCAGAGAAAAGTGTGTATTTTGTTTACTCGTGTAACAGAAGTTCCTGGCACCGTGCCTTCCATATAGCAGATGTGCAATGATCATTTGTTAAATGATGAACAAATACTGCCGCACATATATATTGTTATATTTATCATACCAGTTCTGTTGATTAGTACAGCACATGAATACTGCATACTATACCTAAATAATTAGTCTGGTGAATGAGTAAATGTTCAACATTTTTAGTTTAAGAGCCAAAAGAAACTCTATTCAGAAGGCTACAAGAGAGCTTTTACTAAGATACATGCTCACACAATGTTGAGTTTCATTCTAAATCTCTGACTCTGGTTTAGTTTTTGATAGTAAGATATCATGACGTATGACTTGATCATAAATTTATACAAATAATAAGCAGATGGAATTTATAAGATGTTTTGATTTGTAAAAGAACAAGACCTGAGATTCGAGTCTAAAGTTTCTTCTAATCTTTAAAAAAGTGCAAAATGGCTGAAAGCTTTTATCTTAGAAAATAATCAGAAAAGTCACAGTTCACACTTTATTAACACTGTTTATTTCCTCAAATAGTTATTTAATGATTCTCTAAAATGACTGGTTTTCTATCACAATCCTAGAAATCTTAGCAGTTAAGATATTTATGGATTACAAGATAGGCATTCAATTTGCTTTTACAGACTATGAATAGAAAACTGAAAGAAAATTTTTCACAACAATGTATTCCTATATTTAAATTCTACAGAAAGTGAGGCCAGAGATCCAGAAGTGAGTCAATTAATCTCTTCCTTGATATTTTATTTTATTTTATATATATATATATATATAT